CTGAGAGATGCCTTCCTTTTTTTTAATGATCACTTTTTCTTCCTAGTTCTCATGCACTGATACATAGCTATGAACATTATATGCATTGCCAATTGCAGTTCTTTTTAAAAAAACATAATCCAATTAAAATTTCAGTTTGTGGCCTTTACTAATTAATAGTATTCCTTTAAATAAGAATATTGCCATTTCCTTATTATATTTCTCAAGTATCTTCTCTTAAAATCAACAGGTAAAAATTCCATGGAAAAGCATATAAACGGGCATCAGAAAAACAGCCACATACTGCAGCACTGTTAACCAGCTACTGAAAACTACAGCTTCATCTTCTGCTCACAGCCAGACCCATATATATCTGGATACTTGCTATCATTACAAATGCACTGGCTTTAGGTTTCTGCCAGGTAAAAGAGATGAGAATCTGCTCATGGTCTGCATTTCTAACTCTTCTCAGAATGAGAGAGTCCAAACATATTTTAGTTCTTTATAGCTGCTCTTCATAGACAACTAAAGATCTTTATCACAATAAAAACAGAAGGCACTGCCACAGAGTGTAATTACATGCTACTATAGTTGACTGTTGTCTTCCAGAAATAGAAAATGGTTTGAAAAATGCATGGTTTCTGCTTGGGCCATAATCCGAGTTCCTTAAATAAAATGCTACCCCTAATCCCTGTGCAGATAAAATGGGAACTCTGGTATTGCAGGGCTGAGCAAATCTTGAGAGTGGGCTTCAAGATTTGGCTCAACAGTAGTCAGCTTTCTGCACCAGCGATTAGCAATGGGGCACCACAGTGGAAAATCAGGTTTAGGCCCTGCTCTCTTTTCACACCACCCCGAAGTTCATGTCCCAGGTTAGTTTGTTAGGATTATTTCTCACTCCTTCTTCAGGCACTTAAGAACCCAAAATTTCAAGGCAGCATACCCTGTGGAGTTCTTCCTTTTGGACATCAGATTACCATTGCGAAAAAAAGCCACAGATAACGCTCAGCACCGCACCAAGCAAGGACAATTTACTGTTGCACAACACCCCCCCGGCAAAGGAAGAGGGATGGGGTTTACATATCCACAGCTGCATCTGCGCTCAGCAGCCAGCTGGGAAAGACGTGCTGTCTAGTCTGAAGGTACGTAACCTGTCAGCCAGCCATCAGGACAAGTAGGTTTCAAATATCCACTCGGTCCCACATTCCTCCTTCCTTGAAGAGGCCTAACTTAGGATCGTGTACATATCCTAGGATCCCTGGCAAAGTCAAACATTGTGGTAAATGATTTATTATCAGTCAGAGGCTTCTTCTGAAACTGGACTGTTTACTTTTACTCTATAGCTAAAAGAAAAAGGCAGGTTCTTGCTTCTTCTGAAAGAGCATTTGCAAAAAAAAAAAAAAAAAAGGTGTCTAATAGAGTGTAATTATTGTGCTAAGTAATTATCAATAAATTATAAAAAGTACAAAAGACTCCAAAAAGCTCCATAAAGATGAGTAAATATGATCTGGAAGAGGTGCCTATGAATCACACACTATTTCTCTATTACCATAAAATAATAACGGTTCATACATTTTACTACGAAACTTTCTGCTGAAGATGTCACAGATCTCACAAACATTCATTTCACCTCACAACCTCCCAGGGTGGGAAGCACCATCTCCATGTAATACAAAAAGCTCAGGAAGTAGAAAAGTGCCATTCACCTCATGCAACACAAGGAGGCTGCAGCAGAGCTGGGAACAGAACACAGACCCTTGTCTCCCATTTTGTACGCTAACCACAGGATCATCAAAAGTCACCTATTTATTTTATCTCCTCACAAAAACACTCTTGATCATGACTTCTGTTTCTTTTCTCAGCAAGTAATTTTTTTTGAGAGTCAGCTGCAGTAAAACTGACAGCCCCAAGTGCCTTTAGAAAAGGTAGACAGGAGCGATGCAGCACAAATGGGGCCACAACATATGGATGGGTCTTCCACGTACTTAGTGAAACATCTTGCCCATTATGCCTTATCCACTGTGAACTGTGATTTAAGGTGAAAGAACATTCCCTAAATCCCAGAATTTCACAGTCTTCAAGCAACCATTTTGCAGTACAGAACTGTGCACACTGTTGGCACATCACACTAACAACACATAAAAGAAACTGTGACTCAATTTTAGAGGGAAATATTATTTGCTGCTTTGAAAACCATTTGGATATTTAAGGCACATTCTTTCAAAAGCAAGTCAACATAACTTAGCCTACCCCCTCCACAACTTGGGTTATTCACATAGTTTAAGTCATTCCCTGTCCAGAGATCTTTCACTTTTCTAAGAGTTCTCTCCCTCTGCTCTACATTTTCCCCGCTCCATCCCTTTTCAGTACTTGCCTGTCTCCTCATCCTGCTCTTGCTGTTTCTAGTCTCTTCCCCTCCTTTCTTTACAGTCATTTCCATTTTCTTTGAAATGTTTTGGCATTTAATGCTGGCTTTATTCTTCCTCCTCCATCTGCTGCTCTTGTCTTTCTAAATCTCTTCTAGAGCCTTCTCTTGGGAGAAAGCAAGAGCCATGTTTTCCATATATTGCCTCCTCTTTCTGGATTTCAGTTCACTTTTTCTTTAGGGACCTGGAATCAGACAATCCTCTCCCTGGAAGCTCATATACCAGCTACAATGCTATCTCACCAGCCCCACAATAGCTGGTACCATGCTGTATCACACCTGCTGCTCCCTTTGAACACAAGTATCTCAGGAAAGGCACTGTTAAATATTTGGCATTTCTCCTATATACTACAAGAGCAATACTACAGAAAGCAAAATTACTGGTAGGTTTTAGTCTCCTGCCTTGTGATCAACATTTGTGGAATCTTCTGGTCATGGACACTTGCTCTACCACCTACAATCCAATTTTAAAGGGACTTTACCCCTCCCTAAGTGTTTTCTTCTCTGTAGAAATCTTCTATTTCATTATCAGGACTTACAAGGAATGAAGGAGAAATAACGAAGCTTAACTACTAACACTGCCTTTATACAAATATCCCCTATATTGTCTTTCCAACATATTTTAATTTGGGATTCAAAAGCTCAACTCTAAGACC